TAATTGATTTGACGCTATATTATTTAAACCCAACTAAACGCTAAATTGTACATTCTATTACTACAATCATATTATGTCAAATGCCACCGGAATTATTTTTCTTTTTCTTTACCTTAATCCCAACTACTTGGGGTCGGCCATTCTTATCCTAAGCTTCCACTTGACACGATCTCCCACATCTTCTACGCTCAAATCAGCTGTCCTCAAATCGCATTCAATAGCATCCCTCCATCTCTTTTTTGGTCTTCCTCTATCTCTTCTTCCTTCAACATTCATTTCTATAACTGTTCTTACAGCTTTCGATTCTTCTTTCCTCATACCATGACTAAACAATCTAAGTCTATTTTCTGTCATCTTATCCACGATTGACGCAACACCTATACTTCCTCTTATATGCTCGTTCCTTATCCTATCTTCTCTAGTCACTCCACTCATCCAACTAAGCATTCTCATCTCTGCTACACTTATTCTCTGCTCTACTTTCTTATCAACCGCCCAACACTATGAACCATACATCATAGCTGGCCTCACAATTTCATACTAAATTTAAAAACTATAATTAGTATTTATTCATATATTATATTTTAAAATCAAAGAACTACTAATCAGGATATAATTAAAGAAATAAGAGTTCATGTTGCTTTTAAAATATTTCACCAATTTCTCTAAAGGAAACACTATCTACAGATTTGCATCGAAGCGTTTCTTATGATAGTGATTTTAATCACTGTCAGATATCATCTATACTTGTCCCATCTATGCCTCGTCCACACTGTGCCTCGACCCCACTGTGCTACCGTTTTTTTAACTAATTAGAAATAACATCAAAAATTAGTGGTGATAAAAAAAATCTAATTGCAGATTTGAAATTAACACGAAAAATTAAATAATAATAGTATATTTTTGAATCTGATGTGAATTCCTGGTAAAACCTTTAATTCATAAATAACAACAAAATATTTTCTGAAAAGTTTTCTATCAAACCCTACAATTTTTATACATGTTGCCATACAAATAATAACTACTTTATAATTTTTTATAAATTCTCTGAAAATATTACAATACTAAACTATTAAATATCAATCTCATACTATATTTAATTTCTATAATAAATATTTATTCATATATTATACTTTTAAATAAAAAAACTACTAATCAGAAATAAGTAGTATTAATTCGAGTATTAGTTTATAGTTATATATTTATTATAGTTGAATTATTTAAATCAAGAGTAATAAAGGAAATAGGAATTCATTTTGCTTTTGGTATAATACACACATTTCTTAAAATTAAACACTATATACAGTTTTGAATTAAAGCGTTTCTTATGGTAATGATTTTAATCACTGTTAAATATCATCTGTACTTGTCCCATCTAGCCACGTCCACACGGTGCTGCGACTACTCTCCTCAATGCTCCCGTTTTTTTCATATGATTTACGAAGTTAGCAACCAAATATACATCAGATAAATAAATAAAAAATATTTAAAAGTAGTTAAATAAATTTGATTTAATAAAAATAATAAATAATTATAATATAAGGTTGAAAAATAAATAGTTTGATTAAAAAATAAAAACAACATTTAATATACAAATTAAAAAACAAATAAGTATTTATAAATTCATCTCACAAAATAATAATAATTTTTGTGTTTATGATAATTGGATAAACTTTTTTTAATATCAACTATAATTCTATAATATCACTATACAATTCTCAAAGTATAAAATTTTTAATGGTCACAATTTTTTAAAGTAAAAGATTTAATATTAACAATTAAATTTTCATTTAAAGAAACTTCTTTATTGAATATAAAAATAAAAAAGGTAAATATCATTTAAAGCTAATTGGTACACTTTTTAATAACCTTCATTAACATTCATATTGATAATGTAAACTTCATTTTATTTGTTTTTTGAATGAATTAAATGAAGAAATAACAAATAATAATACTAATTTCACAGGAATAAATTTCATAATTTATGCAATTTAATTATTCTGAGTTTTTGTAATACTTGAAACTTTTTGTGGTAAAATTAAAGGAGGTGGAGCATGAATCATATGGCTATCAGTATCATCTAATAAACTTGTAGTTGAGCTAGAATTTTGAATATTATTAGTAGAAAAATTTTGTCCATTAGGCATTGAACCAAATTCAGTTAAATTATTTGTTGTATAATTTTGATAATAACTATTTGGTGGAACTGAGTAATATGTATTTGTTACATTGGTATTAGAAGGATTTTGGTAGTAGTTAGAACCAGTAATACCACTAGCATATTGATTTTGATGTGACTGAATAGATGAGTTATTACTTAACTGATTGTAATTGGCCATATTTATTTCTTTTGGTGCAATACAGTAAACTGGCAATTGCTGTTGTAAAGACATATCAGATGGAGCAGTTGATGAAGTGTTTACTATAGTTTGGTTGCCTTGGATAGATATAGGTGTTGAATTTGTTTGATTGTATAAACTAGTATTTGAATTTGAGTTATATTTATAGTTAAAACAATGTAAATTTGAGACGTTACTAGAAGATAATTGAGATAAATTATTTGTATTATTTATATTATTTTGTAACAAATGACCACTTTGAATAGAATATGAATTTCCATATCTTAAATTCGTAGATCCAGCAGTTATAGAAGTATTGGGTTGATAAGCTGGAATGTTAGTAGGACAATTTATTGCTAATGATTGATTTAGGGAACTTTTAGATAGAATAGGAATGTTAGAATTATAACATAAAGTATTAGTAAGATAATTTACACCAGATGATTGAGTTTGAGTTATTTTAGGCAATGTCATATTATTTGAGTAGCAATCTAAAGGATTTTTTGAGTAAATGACTTGAGGCAAATTATTTTGTTGATGTTGAAAGCCCATACTGATTTGATATGGATATGAATATGATGCAGGTTGATTTTGGACTATAGGACTATAGTTGGAATGATTTGAGACAGACAATGAGCTATTAGGTGTTGTATTCACCATATGGATTGAACCAGTCATTTTTGGTAAAATTCCTTGTTGCAGCAAGTTATTATTTGATGGTTGACAAAAATTGTTTGGTTGTGAATTTTGAACTCCTTGATTTCCAATATTAAAAGACTCATTATTTAAATTCAAATTATTTAATTGAGTGGATATGTTATTATATAGAAATTCTTTTGGATGATTATATCCAGTTATAGCTTGTTCAGATCCTAATGGTGATGGTCGGCGTACTCCATTGTAATACGAATCGAGAGACACACTAGTATCTTTTTCATTGTTAATGGTATCAGGTTGATAATAATTTGTAGTGTCAGAAGTTTGTGTATTCTGAATTTTTGGTTTAGAATCCATATTAATGGAAGAATTCATGATTATTTGATCTCTCTCTTCAGTTTGAACTTGACAAGTACCTTTAATAAATAAAATAAATTAAGAAAATATTTTATGATATTGAGGGATAATATTTATTAATTACTTTGTATATAATACAGAGTGATTTATTTATCATAAACCATTTAATTAGTCAAAAAATAAAAAAAAAATTTTTCTTATTGATAAATATTTTTATCAACTTATCAATCATAAATTATTTTTTATGTTCATCCCATAGACTTTATAATAGTCAACTTTATTTTTTCAAAATACATAATTAATCAAGTTATTTATTAGTTCATGATATAATTAAGAAAATAACTGGTATATTATAATTTATGGACCAGTATTTTAGAAGTTATTAAACATACTATAATGTTGGCTGAAGGTGAGACGTTATTGTTGTTATTTTTATTTTTATACCTAAGTATAAAAATGTCAATAACATTAGAAATAGTGGTCCAAAAGTTAATTTTATTTAACACATCATAAGACAGTACAATTTTTATTTAATATTCTTGAAAACTTAGTAATGTTTTATCTAGAGTGGTTTGTCCCTTCTGAAACAAAAGATAATTCTATACTACTATATATCAACAGTAGTTGCAAACACTTAGGTTCCTTCAAATTGGCTCAAAAGTTTTTTTATTAATGCATATAAATCCATTTCTCACTTTTAATTAATGTTGAAAGATGATTTAATATTTTTTTTAGCTTCATACGAAGCTGAGAAGGTATTGGTTTTACTATGATGTGTTTTTTTTCAGCTCTCACCTAACCGATTTCTTTCAACGATACGTCAAAAGATCACAAATTGTATCTAGTCAAAGACATTGAAAATTGAAAATTTTCCCTCATTTCCCATAAATGGGGGAAAACTCCAAAAATATTACAAATTTAAAAATTGCTAATTTTCGAAATTTTTTTTAGTTAAAACTGCCATAATTTGCTTAAAAAAGAACAAATCAATATAATTTGTTTTATATAGATGCATGATGTCTTTACTTATCATTTTGTATATTTCTTTATAAATCTGATCCTTTACCTGCCACAGGGGGGACAACTTATTTACAAAAAATTAACATTTTCAACTTAACTTTTGAGTGTTCCGGAAAGTCTGACACTTTTATATATATTTTAAATTAAAGATAATGTAATGTACTTTATCATGAAAAACTTTTCGGACTTTATTTTGTCTTCACGGTGAAAATGGCTACCAAATGCTATTTTTGTGTGAAAATTCTCAATTTTATTTTTTACATTTTTAACTTTATAATGCTATAACTTATTGAAAAGTATATAGATCAACACAATTTTTTTATGAGAAATAATATTTTTATTCCTTTTTCATTCGACATACTTTATCTTAATCAGGATATTAATAAGGAACTAGCAGATTATGTAGCTTTTGGAATAATCCACCAATTTTTTAAAATTAAACACTATCTAAAGATTTGCATCAAAGCGTTTTTTTTTTATAGTGATTTTAATCACTGTCAGATATCATTATACTTGATCCAACTATGCCATTGTGCCACGTCCCCCCTGTGCTGGGTTTTTAAGTCTTACTATAATAAGACTTTTTTAATAATATCACTACATTATTCAGTTTTATTCTTTTTATCACTCCTAAAAAATTTGTACCTTTTACTCGTTGAAGTAGTTTTGAAACATTTATAGAAAGTTTATTATAAAACTCTAAGCCTTTAGAAGATTTTTCTATCAGGTCTTCCACACAGTTAAAAGAATCAATGAGAGATGTGATTTTTTCACGGCGTTTTTCAGCACTAGACACAAATAATTTGCGAACAAATGCTGCATCCATATATGCTAATCTAACTGCTTCTATTATTGCAGGTTGAGCAGATATATTTTGTTTAATTAAATTAATCTAAAAACATAAATACAATTTTTGTTAATAAATATAGATTAAAAAAAATTTTTTTTTTAATTTAAGTTACCAGGTTTGCATATTTAACTGAGATTTGTTGATTAAATAATGTAGATAGATCATTTTGTGATTGAGTCACTTGTACTAATGACAAATCATCTTCTTCAATAGCTTTATGCAATCTGGATGCTAACATTGTTCTCTGAGTTTGCATTTCACATAATTTATTAACAATAGTTTGTAGTTGATTAAATTTTTTTTTGTCACTTTCATCTAAAATAAGTATATATATATATAAGAATGAAACAGATCTAACTAACAACTTTTGTAGCTTATATTAATATTTTGGTTAAAATTTTTGCTCTCCTAAAGTACTTTAAAAGCTTATTTTTTTTAATTATAAAGAAATAAAAAAAATTTATCTTTATTTTTTAGAGATTTTCTTGCAAAAAATGTTGATGGGTCGATAGCAACTTCAAGATAAGTACTTATTGAGTTACAAGCATTTTAATACATACAGTAGATATGTAAAACAGAAGGAGTATGCCTTAAATATACATCAGTACAAGCTGTACCCACAAGCTATATATAATAATATTATATATATTTAAATGCTTGGAAATCAATAAGTATTTATTTTAAAGTTGTTACTGTCTCATCAACATTTTTTGATGAATATTATTAGAAAAGTTTTGTCCATTCGGCATTGAATCAAACCTAAAAATGTATTTCTCAAATAATTTGAATATGCTAATATTTTTAGTACATTTAATCTATCTTTTTAAGTTGGATATAAACTTTAATATTAATTAAACCTCAAGTTCTCTTAATCTAATATATTTTTAGTTTATAAAACACAAAAAATATATAAACACACCATAAAAGTTGAGATTCCTCAAAAAATATTTATGATTATGGCAAGAAATAAACCATGAAAATATGTTAAACTGTAAAAAAAGTCCATTTTGAAATTATTAAAAGAATTATATATATATATATATTTATTATTAAAAATAAAAATATGCTTTTAATATAGTGTATTAATGCCAAAATTGTTTTAAAAAACATTACATCGAACTTTTAACTATATCAACAATTTTAAGAGTAGTCAGTTATATCAATTCCACTCTGTATATTAAATAGTGAATAATAATTAGCAAAAATATATTTTCATATATCTCTTTAAAATTGAAGTATTAACTTACCTAATGTATCAGGTGTACACATTGGTGGTAAATGTTTTTCTAATTCTACTAAAGATATATTCATTAGGTTTAAGTTATTTATGTGCATGTCTAAAGCTTTATGTAATGTTTCATTTGACTCTTCTGCTTTGTTATGAGCTTCTTCATACTTATTTGCCTCACGCTTTAATTCAGTTATTACAATAGAATTATAAGGTTGGCCAACAGAGTCTTGATAAATTTGATCTTCTATCTCTTCAGTCTATTAATATAAAAATGTTTTCAGATGTTTGAAAAAATTTAAATTTAATCAATAAAATAAATTGTTTTATAAAATCTTTAAGAATTATTTAAATTATCTACTTTTAAACAATTATTGATCTCAGATAGCATTTTTTTAATATCTTGATTTATACTCGATAATTTACTCATTATATCAGATAAATTGGATAGCTTTTCAGGGTTTGCTTGAAATGCAGCACAACTGTTGACTAATGACTAAAATATTATAAAATAATATAGGTTACTATAATTTACAAAAAAAATTGTTTTTAATCATTACCTGGGGTGTTTGTACTTTCCAAATACTTTTATCTAGACAATCTAGTTGAAGTGAAGATGAAAATATTGAAAGCTCATCATTAGCTTTCTCTATCAACTCATTAGTATTTTTTAGCAATCTATTTTTTTCTTCTCTATTTAAAAAATACATAAAGAAAAAATTATAAAAAGAGATGTATTTTAGCTATATTCCTATATATGTAGGGTGTTCAGTAAGTAAGGACATTCAGGTTTCTATCGTTCTCATTGTTTTTAACAATTGATCTATCTCCTTACTTATTGTAACACTCTGTATATTTAATAACCCTATTGATTTCTAATACTTTTTTTAAACTATGACATTTCTAAAAATTGATATTCAATTAAATTAGATATTTTTAAAATCAAACGACCAATAAAATATGTAATATATTAATTTATACATTTCAATTAATACCTTCACAATCTTATTTAAGGGGATGTGTTATAAATAAATTATTATAAAAATTACCTATACATAGATGATGCTTTTTGATAAAGAGTTGGTATCAAATCAGCAAACAATAAAGGACCTGATATTTCTGGATCTACAACACTAAAACCAATACTTTTTACAAGGGATGCACCTTTAAGTTTTTCTAACTGTTGATTTTCTTCTTCTGGTAAAGGAACTTTTTCATGGTAAATCAATTCATTTTCAGTTTTTGATGCTTTCCATTTAGCTGCAACCACATCCATTGTAAAAGTCAGTGCTTCTTGAACTTGCTGTATTCAAAAATAATTTAACAGAGTTAAAATAAAAAAAAAACAAATTTGTTACCTCTGGGTCATCAAAGTTTTTTGACTGATTAATTGCTTCTTCTAGCTTATTAAAAGCAATTTGATAATAAGATACCCTAAATCCCATTTGTTGTTGATCTTCAGCATGTTGACCTTGGAATAGAGAAGTGACACATTCATAATAAGTTTTCTTAAACATACAGTATTTTGACCACATCTAAAACAAAGGCAGAATGTTAAATGTTTTAATTATTCAAAATAATATAAAACATTTAAACTAAAATTTAGCGAGACTTTAACAAATTAAATTGTCACAAATTTTAAATATATAAAATTCTTAAATCCCAAGTGAATTGAACTTACTTTGTATCTCTTCATGCCTACTGTTTCTCCAATACTACTCTCTACAGTAGCAAAATTGACTAACGCATTCATTGCAGCATTATAATATTCAGAAATTTTTGCAGAAACCTTAGCTATAACCCAACATATAGAAAATATCATTTTTTTTTCAAATAATCACAAAATAATAAATAATTTAATTACCAATTATTAATGCTTTTCGATTATCTATCATACTTTTTTCCAGTATGCATTCTTGAGCTTGAGCCAAACTAAGTTGATACATATATTGTAATAAATCAGAAGATAGATCAGGACGAAACTTTAAGGGATAATTTTCATTAAGTTCCTGTATAAAATACATGGTAAAAATAAATAACACTAAAATGTAACAAATTTAATTACTTGAAATGCCCAAGCAGCGCATTGAAAATGTGTGCATGCCATTTTTAGGGCTTCATCATCAGATGTTCTATTTTGGGCAGACCCAAGACTACAATGTAAAGCTCCAATGTTGTATAGAACAGAAGCAATTTCCAATGTAATGTCAGACATATTAAAACAAATACTTGGATTGAATACATGATTCCTGTAAAATTAGGTATAATGTAAAAAATTTATCTTTACCATCCAGATCAGCAAACCAAATAACAGGTAAATTGATTTCCAGAAAATTATAAAATTATGATTTTGACATTGTATCATTAAAACCTAATACAAAATATTCCACAGGTAGAGATCATGTCTATGATTTTAAATGTGTTGATTAAAAATTAATTCAAAATTGAATTTTAAAATACTGAGATGAATACAAAAACTTTAATAAATTTTCCAACAAACTTTTTATACCATATAAATATATAGTTTTTGATTTATCTTCATTAATTAGGATAAGCTGAAATGTCTTCTTTTTGTGGTACCAATTCAAGATAATTTTAACTTAAGATAAACATTTTTTTTAAGAAAATCTCACCATGAAAATTCCAATGTTGCACTTCCATTTTCAGTCATTGGAAAACGACTTTTTAATGCATGTAATTGACAAAAATATCTTTTTAAAATTGAACATCCTTCAACATTAATAGTAGGACCTGTAGAAGTTTCTCTTAATGCTAGTAACATTGACAAGTCATCACTATAATTTATTGGATCTTGATCATATGTATTTTGTATATACTTTTGATTTTATGTAAAAAAGATGAAAGCATACATTATTAATGTAATATTTGATGGAATTAAGTTTTTAAAAAAAATACTTACATGATTAATTTTTGTTGTAAAATCAGGGCTTTGCTGGCTAGTTTTAAGTGGAAAACTTATCATGTATAATCGTGGAACAGCCTCCATTTTAAAACTAAAAATAATAAACAAGTTTTTCTTAATTTACAATATTTAATTATTGAATTTGAATTTACAAAACTGTTTAACCTCATTTCATATTAGCTTAAGAATAATAATTTTCAAATATAACTCAAATATTTAATACTAACTAAATGTTAAATATTATTATTAATATAATAATAATAATAATATAATTAATAAATATTAATCACAAATTGATGTCATGATTTAATAATGACTCTAGTTGAGACACAACTTTTTTTTTTTAACTAGACACTTTTTGGCCTCATTCTTCCTCTATTTTAGGTATAAAAATGTTAATAACTTCTATAATATTAATACAAAAAAATTTATTAATACACATATTCATGTTCTTAATTAAATTATTTTTTTATTTTTTAAGCATATTAGATATATGTTGTTCTTTAAATATATATAGTTGATATTTCTATTATGTATAAGGAATAGACTAAAAACATATTTTATAATAGACAAATGGAAATACATATTTAACTAAAAAAAATTGTTTTTTCAAGAAAAATTGAGGAACTAGCGTTAAAAACACTCTGTATGTATAGTTTCTATTACTCATTTGCTATTTGAAATTAGTTTTAAACTTATGATCTCTTACTATACTTTGGCCTTCTGCTGGTAAATAAATAAAATGAAGGTATGACTGATACCTATTTGATCAATATTTTTGCTTCACATACTCTAGATATCACTTATTATTATATAAGGAGTTCAATCTTAGGATCGGAGTACATTCATATATTTCACACACTTAACTCAGAATTGCAAGCCATAGTCATTATTATTAAAATTTAATAATTTTGAATAGTAAAATATATATAATTAACATTCACAAATATTAAATAGTTAATATTTTCCCAAACAACGTTATCAAAACTATTTGACTTAAATTCTATAATTGACTTTGTTAAAATTTAAAACTATATACTTTAATATGTTTCTCCGCGGCAAATTATCATAAAACTTGTAACTTGTAATTTCGATCACAAACAAATCATTAATGAATTACAACTGAATAATTAGACGTTTTACCTAATTTTATATTTGAGAAATTTTTCTTCAGTGAACTAATAATTGATAACTGTAAATATTTAGGGAAACGTACATTTCAGCCGAAAATATTATGGTCAAACCATGTTTTAGTCGAAAAATAAATTGACCTAACCGTATTTTGGTCGAACAGCATTGCAGTCAAAAATAATATTGATAAGTTTAGAGTCTAAACTTATCAATGGTCTATGGTCTAAACTTTAGACCATAGACATGTAAACACTACGAATCAGACCTTATGCATAGCACACTTTATTAAATAAAAAAATATTTAAAATAGCAAACAATCTACATCAGTTTTAAATACTTAATGATTCAATAAATTGAATATCATTAATACGATAACGTCGTAATTTAATTTGAACGACGTCCTAAGAAATTTATATGTACATTTAATATGTGAAATCATTTTAAATAGAGATGAATAAAATAAAATAAAATAAAAAATAAACATTATTTACCTAACTTTTTAATCAATACGAAAAAAAGTAATAGAGCTTTTCCGAACTTAGCCATTGCTCCTAGGATTTTTTTATGAGTCCCAATAACTTAATATACTACAGAACGCAGAATAAATACAAGAAATTAAAATTGAGTGTTGAAAATTATGTTGTTTATGGATTTTCCATAATACGCAAATTGTAAATTTTGTAAATTCTATAAGTAGCGTTAAAATTATTTCTCCATCATAAAATTTTCACCAGACGTTTTAATTGCCTAAAGGAAAGTACTATGTAAATTTGAAAAAAATTCGTTCAGTCACTTTTGTGTAATGAGATGATAAAGTTGGCTATTTTTAGCAAACCTTGCATGTTCAAGACCGTAAAACGATACAAAAAAAATTATAAATCGATTCAAATATGATATGAGTTAAAAGAACATTACTAAAAGTTTCTGAAAAGAAAAAAAAAATTTTAATTAAAAAATTTTTCGTCCTTCAAATTTTGCTATTAAAATACTGCAAAATTTAAAAAATTTAAATCAAAATTTCGATGTTCAAAAAAATTCAAAATTTATAAACTTAAGAATGAAATTGAAGTACTATTTAATATGAGTAAAACAGTGCTAGTTCCACAGTGATAGCTTATTTGGATGTGAAGTTATAGGCTCTAGAACATAGGCTGTTTTTTCATGTTTTTAATTATAAAAAATGCTCTATCTGGTAAGTAAAAAAAACAATAATAAAAAAAAAAAATATTATTTTTGTTGTCAATGACCTTTAAGAAGTCTATGATATAAATTTCATAAATTTCTGAACTATACCAGCACACACATTAGGTGATTTCACATGGAATGACCTAGGAGTAGAATGTCAGGAAACAAGGAAACCTGGTGGTGGGATAAGGACGTTCAAAAAATTATAAAAAGTAAAAAAATCAATTCAAAGTATGACAGAAAAGTAAAAGAAGATAATATTGGATGGAGTATAAACGCTTGTGCAAAGAAGCTAAGTATGCAGTAAATAAGGCGAAGTTTAAGAGGTATGATAGGCTAGGAACAAAGGAAAGCAAGAAAGAAGTCTATAGACTCGTAAAAGTAAGAGAAAAAAGGTCTAAAGATTATCACTATGAAAAGTGTTTATAATAGGGTACTATCGAGTGACGATTTGAAAAAAAAGGTAAAAGAGTATTTTGAAAAATTACTGAGTGAGGAATATCCAAAAGAGACATTAGAGGGTATCTCGTGGAACAAGGGACTGGTAAATTTAATTAGTGAGAAAGAGGAATGAGAGGCTGTGGCATCAATGAATAAGAATAAAGCAGTAGGACCAGATAAAGTGCCTGCAGATTTGACAAAGGAGAACACGAGGTACGTGAAATGAGGAGTTCAGTGTCAATAGACGAGGACGTGATAGAAGAGGTGGAAAGTTTTAAGTATTTAGGATTAAGTGCGGGTGGTTGAAGTGGATTGAAGCGTCTGATGTTATACGATAAAAGAATTCCAATGAGGCTGAAAGGTAAATTCTACAAGATTTTAGTGAAACCAGCTATGATGTATCGTTCAGGGTGTTGGGCGTTTGACAATAATGTAGAGCAGAGAATGAGTGTAGCGAAGATGAGAATACTTAGATGGATGAATAGAGTTACTAGAGTAGATAGGATAAGGAACGAACATATAAGAGGGAGTATAGGTGTAACGTCAATCGTAGATAAGATGAGAGAAAATAGATTTAGATGGTTTGGTCATGTTACGAGAAGAGAAGTATCGGAAGCTGTAAGAAAAATAATAGAAATGAATGTTGAAGGAAGAAGAGGTAGAGGAAGACCAAAAAAGAGATTGAGGGAAGTTATTGAATGCTATTTAAGGACGGCCGATGAGAACGTAGATGATAATCGTGTAAAGTGGAAGTTTAGTGGCCGATCCCAAGTATTTGGGATTAAGCCGAGGAAAAAGAAGATATATATATATATATATAATACTTATTATATCTATCTATAATTAATACCAATAATAAAATTATATATTTTTTATACTCTTAGAATGTAGATTAATATCAATAGAATATTGGTTGATGACTATTATAGATAATAAACATTATTCTATCATCCACTACAGCAGTGCTAATAGGTTTGCCTCAAAGGTGTGTGTACATATATACTAAGAACGTTCAAAATGGTACATTTTGGTGGATGCTGTTTTTACCTAAACTCTATTCAATCAAAATATTCAAAACGTTATTGTTTTTAAACATACTTGTTAGTTTTTTTTGATGATTAATGAACAAAATTTAAATATAATTTAAAAAAATACTTTAACAGTATATTTTAAATGTTAAAAAAATATTATAAAAATACCATTGAAATTTTTATTTTAAACATCTTATTAGAAAAAAAAAACTTATTTCTCTGTAATTTAAATTCACAAAAAATAGTGTTAATAAATATGTAGTTAGGGGCAGGCAAGTTGATAACTTTATGATGGCATCATCCTTGTGGTCTACTGCTTCGGGATCCATTCTCATTTATCTCAACTTGTACTATTTTTACAAACTGCTCTTAAAAATAATAACAGTATTAAAAGCTATAACCATAGTATGTATTGAAAGCTATAAAAAATAAAAAAATATAATTAACTTCAATTGTTAGAATATAACAGAAAAGTTATATAAGTAGTCGAAATAAATATAAAAGTATTATATATTTTATTAAAAATTTTATTATGATAAATTCACAATAAAATCATGTTATATATATAACTAAACAATCACAAAAAAAATCTTCTACGACTTGTTTCAATTTTATGTCTTTTATCAGTCATAATCCATCTATATTCTCCACATTTAGGATCATATAATCCTTCTTGAATATATTGTAATCTCATAGTAAATTTAGGTCCTAGTTCTCTAAGAGACGGTTTATTTTTCAAAAATTTGTATCTATGATGTCGAACAAAAATATAATCTCTTTGATTATGCATTGTAATTACATGTCGTCCTTTAAACTCAGCTTCTTGATGAAAAACAGCACCTAGCATACGTGCAACAGTTTTACCTAGTCCAGTTGTAAAATTTGTTGTTATCACTTCAGGTCTGTGATTAGTAAATTCTTTACGTTGTCTTTTATTTGGAAATATAACATTACTTAAACGAAAATATGCAGTGGGACCCTTAGGCAGATGTACTAGTATTAATCCATTAGGTTCATTTCGATCTTCATTTAATACTATTAAATCAGTATATCCTTTATTGATTGCTGCCTGTATAGTTTCTTTAACTGAAGCATCTCTACGAAAGACTCTAACAGAGTTGGGTATGATTTCTGTTAAAATTTTACCAAATTCTCTTACTTTTCTAAGAGGTTTTTCTTTGTAAGTAATTAATACTTTAGGTTTATAAAGTTCAGAATAATATTCAGAAAACTCATCATTTTCAAATTCGGCTGCTAAATCTTCAGCTTTTTGATCATAGTCTTCATCATCAGAATGAAATACAGTTGAATCATGTTCTCTAGTATTTTCAATAGTACGCGGTATTTGCTTAGGGTCACCACTCTCTTTTCTAAGTTTCCTATCTTTTCTTTGCTGTTTTTTTTTATTCTTAAGTTCTTTCAATTTTTCTTGTCTTAACAAGCCTCTTGGTTTTTTCCTAGCCAACTTAGGCAATTCTGGTTGTGGTTCCTGAAATAGTAATAAACTGGTAAAAATACTAGAACATTGAAACAATATTCAATTAAAAACCAATTTTTTAATGAAATTTCAAAAACCAACAAAAATGTTTGAAAGATTGATAATCTATATAACTAACATTTCTAAACTTTACTTTATAGTATTTCAGTAAAAATAAACAAAACATTTTAAAAATGTATGCTATCTTTTGGTATGAAAAATGAAAACAATTTATGATTTTTTATTTTAAACTTGCTAGTAAAAAATGTATAACAACAAAATTACAATTAACCTAAGTAATTAAATAATGATAAGAAAATAGAAATCATTTGGTTGAGTATAGTTTATCATTTTAATTTTGAACATCATGTAAAAATACTATTTAAGTACCAGAGGAATTTTTTTTATTCACTAATTCAAAGCAAGGCTTAGTAAAAGTAACATATTTAATGTAACAATTAGGATATTGATTATTCATATCTATAGACAATTAATACTTTTTTTAGAAGTATTTAATTGAAAAATAAAAACCACTTGATAAAATTGAAAATTTAGAAGCATGTTCAATAAAGAGTGAAAATGTCAAATGTTTAAAGTGCCAAAAAATGAAAAAACATTTTATCTTTGATAAATGTTCTAAATGTTCATAGCTTCAATTGTGTAGTATTTAAATTGTCAACATACAATTTCTTAAAGTATTTTATGTGAAAAAAATAATTTTTCGATGAAAATGTTATTTTATTTATCGTTTAGATTTATGTTACTTAGCACTTGTTTTTCATAGATATAGAACATATGAAATCTTCATCTTAAAATATTTTTATATAATAATTATTGTAATAAAATCTGTAATACACTGATCTACATCTAGAATAAAATACATACCATCAATTCATTATCCATGGTCGTACTCTATAACAACAGATCGAAACGTAATGACACAGTACCGCGTTTTCTTTAGCAGCACATCATGTTATCAAACCATGCGGAAATGTATCAGCTCTAAATGATAAGTGTGCGGTGGCACGTTTATGTCTACGACGCCTGGGGTCTGCTTGAGCTATCCTGTACAGTACTTTTTTAGGTTCATCAATTCTGTCATTAACGGAATAATTAAAACACATAAATTAAAGACCAATTCAACTATGTTAAATTAAATAACATAATTCACATGATAATATATTATATACATTTTAAAAATTAAATATAATATAATCACATTGATTTCATCGTTTAAATTTATATTTGATAAGAATTATAAATTATTATTCTTATCAAATATAAATTCAAAGTATTATAAAAAAAAATAATTATTACGAATTCTTTCTACACCTTCCATTCGAAGCTCTAAGGAAAATTATTTTACTTTAATGGGTTTATTATTATTAATTTTTTTTAGTTCTCACTAAACCAGTAGACAGAAATTATTTTATTTTACGACCTATTTAATACAAAATAAAAATGTGTAAAATGAAATTCTAAAAGTGCTAATATCTAAAGACAGCCTATCTAGCTCAGTATGTAATACATCGCGCTTAAGTGCAAACAGTGGCGCACTAAAGGTTCCAGCTCCCCGAGGCATTAATAATATGGTGCTTTTTTGATAACACTACACAACTTTCTTGGAAATCTCTCTCTCTGTAGATTAAAAAAAAAACGTATAAAAATATTTTTGAGGATGGAGAGAAATAAAATTAGATTTCCTAACTTTTTTTTTTTCAATAATAGTAAAAATTATAGAATATTTGTGGAATGAAAGTTTTCTACAGTTTTTAAAAGTTCTATACAATTACACAAATAATATCTTCACATATTCCACTAATCAAAAAAAGAAAACTTGGAATATGCACGAATAAAAATATATATATAATTTACCAGTACAACTAATATGTTATTAAAATAATTTTATTCAATTTTTTTATTTGAACAATTTTGCTTTAGAACTGATGTATTAGAAATAAATTTAATTATCATATATAACAATTATATAGATTTTTATAAGCCATTAGAAATTTTATATTAGTGATTATTATTTTAAATAATAAATAAACTCCTGATTTTATTTCAACTCAAATAAAATATTTTTGTGGTGTATTTTTAGTCAATACACCCTCAAAATCGTACTTCCTCTAATATAATACACCCTCTACTTTTGGTTTCTGGGGCAACTTCCTCAAGTAGCACCAGTAAACAAATAAAGTCCATAGTAGAAAAGCAATAAAAAAATTAACTTAACTCACACAGAATTAGTACTAATTCTATATTGCTTTATTATGCGTATATAATTTTACATTACATATCATTATTACTACAAAATTAGTAGATAGTAATTATAAATTGATTTAGCAGCCTCTTACCAGAGATGTATTTAAATACTATTGTTTCATATGTTGGTTATTTTATAAAAGTTTTTTTAGTTTTTTGTATTATATTTTATAAAAAAAATTGTTAACAGTAAACATTAAGACATAAGTGATCATTTGTTTATTTTTCAATGAATTCTAATGAGCAGTGAAAAAATTCTAAACAATAATGATAATCTAACTGAACAGCTTTAAGTTATAAACGATAGAGTAATAAATATTATTCGATCCTTTACATTAAAATTAAAAAAGAATAATATATTCATTTAAATTTAAACTTTAAATAAACCTTGTATTAAAAAAACACAGACAATAAGATATATTCCACATATAATAATAATTAATCCAACCATTTAATAATAAAGTTATCTATAACAGATTTATCTTTGTACCATTCATGATGAGATATTCCAATAACTGTGAAAAACATTAATTTTCCTGCTTCATCTAGTGTCTTTAAGCCAAAAGAGTCATTCTTGTAAATTGATCGTTCTTTTACAGTAACTATTTCTTGATTCTCATTTAAAACAGCAAATTGACTAAAAATAAAAACTTAATAAATTTCAAGGATAAATTTCAGGCTTTGACATTTGTTCATACCTTGATTGCCATGGAGAAATTACTCCATCGTCAGGTCCTCCAATTAAAATCATTCTTTTTAATCTAGTGATACCTTTTTTATAATTACTACTGTTTGATGTTTCTAATTCATTATTAATAATTGGTAAGTATTTACTATACTTCAAATAAAGATCTAAATGGTACGGATCATACCAATAATTTCCAACACTAATATCTTGACCCATTTTAGAGTAAAACAGTTCATATGCAGTTTTAAGCGTTAAATTTGGAAATATACTTGAAAAACATTTTGCTATAATAAAATTAATAACTTATATTCATAATTACAATATATATATATTAATTATAGTCATCAATTGTTTTAACTTACTTCCATATTGTCCACCTTGAGGAGAACTTAATGAAATAAATGTATGAACATTGTGATTAGGATATGATTCTAGCATACCTCTAGCTATTATTCCTCCTTGCGAATATCCTAAAACAACAATTATAATATTATTTTACAAAAAAAAAAAAATTTCTCAAAATTTTATAATATAATTAATATTTAGGTATACAAAAATCTTTTTACAAACTTCATTAATAAAGTTAATGAGAGTTGGAGATTTTATCATCTAACCATTAAAGATTTTACAGAGGGATGTGAACGTTTTTTTGAACTTAGAGCTAACTTGATGTATTGATTACTATTTGTTAACAGTAAAAAAATTGTTCAAATAATTCAGTATTTTGTTTTTCTTATTTAGAAAAGTAAGTAAAAATAAAAGAAATTGAAAACATTCTAATCATTTAATAATCTTGATAAATTGGGTTTTAACTATAAAATTGATATATACATAGAAAAAATTATTTATTTAAAAGCTATTACTTAATATTTTACTAGCAAAGATATAAATTGTTTATCTAATCATTTATACAAGTAAATCAATTTATATACATAACTGATTCAATACAATTCATTTTAATTTTAAATTATGTTGTTGAACCAAGTTATGACTAGATTTTCTTTATAAAAATGTGCTTTTATTATAGTATATTAGTACATATGTAACAGGGTTCAATTATGATGAGTTAAGATATATAAGTATTTTCGTTCTCTCTGTCACAAACAAAAGCTTAAGAGAGGATGTTAAACATAAAAAATAATAATAATAATCAAAGTACATGAAAAAGTGTATTTTGTTCTATTTTATTATAATTCATTTTTTTAAAACAAGTTAAATAAATTGAAAACTAATTGCCAAAACATATATAGTATTGTCATATTTCTTCTCACCAACACATTTTGTATATATCTGGAGATCCTAGAACGTGAATTTTCTCACGTTATTCCCTCCTTCCATACAAGAGACTGTCATTAACATATAACAACAATTTACAAACCGATTAAATTAATGCCTTCAGGGTGTTGGGAACAAATTTGTAATAAGTCAGGTCCAAGTTCTAATACTTGTTTCCATAAAGGTTCAAGACTTGCCCATCCACAAAACCGATTAAGAACATAAGTTTTAGTTCCAGGATGCATCTGCAAACATGAATAAAAATAAATATCAATGTACATAAAACAATATTGACATTTAAAAAAAAATGATTAACTTCTTCAATTTGCTTAGCTAGTTCAAGCATTGTAACATCTCCAGTCATCAGGCCATGAACAAGTACTACTGGCTTATGAGGTGGCTTTATTTCAACATCATTATATACTGGAATAGTTTCCATTATACTGATAATATAAATGTAATAATTTTAAAATAAAAACAATTTATATTTAAACACGGTTTTTAATAATAGTTTCTATTATTTTTATTTTGTATCCTAAAGGTCTTATGTACATAAATTTTATTAAACATTTAATTATATAAATATATATATATATATATATAATAAAAGAACAACTAAATACCAAAAACGGACAAGTCATATATATATATGTAGAACACATCATTAAAAATTAAATGTTAACTGAAACAACTTATCTTTTAGAATTTATTATCAAGTATTTGATAATGCTATCATTGCACAGACCACGAGCCCATAAATATAATAGTGCCTTTCTTTAAATACATGACTTTAAATTAAGTAACAAATAATTAAAATAAAATTACTTTTTATTTCAGTAGTTAAATAGAAATTACTTAAAAGGTAGTTTCGTTACTATAACTTCTAATTCAAGTTAAGTTACTACTCAACACTGGTAATAGGGAAAGTTTTTTATTTAGTTCGGTATTTTTACATGAATAAGTTTTTTAAACAATAAAAAAACACGACTTAGCAGGAATGATAACTTTTGTTGTATTATGTAAAAATTGCTAATATATCGTGTTCTTTATGCAACTTCAAATAATCATGGAGATGATATTTCATAAAGTTACGATATATCCAATCTTTTACGTGGTCTTAACTACAAATTATTTATCGATCTTACAAAAAAAAAGTTAAATTTTTTTTAATCATGTCGAGATTGTTTATAAACTTCAATTCACGTAATTGTATTAAAAAAAAATCTCTTGAATATAAAATGTATATACATATAATGATGCCTAATAGGGATGAATTATGCAGCATTAAATAAAAATTGATTTTCCGATTTGCGCAATAAAAAAATGTAGCGGAGACGATTATTATTCTTATTGTTTAAGACGACATAATAAATGCCTATTGATCATACTTGATTCGATATTGAAATCAATAACTTTAGAAAATTATATTTTTTAATTAAATTATAACAAAGAAAAAGTTATTTCAAACAATTTAGATATTTTATCCTGGTAGGATTACTATTAATCATACCTCAGGATACAGACTGCTATAGGGAAGGACCAGTTACATTATAAAAGTTTCAAACACTTAATTACCAACTATTTAGTTTAATACCGTAATACGACATATTTTATGTTAAAAATTCTATTTAGGAATACTAAAATAGTATGAAAATGAAAAATAAAATATTAAGTAATTGAGATAATATATTACATAAAAGTTCGAATAATTTGTAATAATATTTATATTTGAAAAAAAAATCATAAGCCTACACAAAATACTTGGTATTTTATTTAGCTATTGGCAATCGTTAACTTATTTTGATACCCCCATACTTTTAATTGTAAGATGATTAATTAAAAAAAGGATTAGGATGTAAATATGCTTCTATAAATATTTCATATGTGTAATTAAGTGTTAATTTATTTTATTGGTCCAGGGTAAATTATTTGATTTATCCACTGAATGTTCGTTAAAACCGATTGCTAAATATCATTCACAAAAATTGAAGGACTTAATTTCTTTAAAATTTCTTACCAAATCTGGTTTTTTGATAACCTTTTTTTTATTAAATTTTTACAAAAAAACAGTAGCACAGTGTGGACGTTGCATAGTTATGACAAATATAGATATCTGACAGTGATTAAAATCACTATCATAAGAATCGCTTTGTTACAAGTCTGTAGCTAGAGTTTAATTTTAACAAATCGGTGGATTATTCCAAAAGCAAAATTAACTCATATTCCTTATTTATATCGTGATTACAAATTTTATGATATATAAGTGTAATATATGAATAAATATTTAATAAATTTGTTCAACTTCGACGGCCATTTATATATAAAAGATAAATCGTCGGGATAAATATATTTTTTTTATTTACAGTATGTCGTATAAGCTTTAATTTAACATATGTTTAAAAGACATAGTACTTCCGGAACATTTACAAAAGTAAAATCGAAAATTTGTACACAAAAATAGCATGTTTTTAACTACGGCAGCCATTTGTTCGTAGACAATAAGTCGTTGATTTATAAGATAAGCTGTTCAACAGTAAAAAAATGTCTTATTAGCGAACAAAACTCGTAACGACTTTTTATCTATCATGTCGAATTTTCAAGGTCAAAGAGAGTCATTTTGAAAAAAATATAAATGAAATTAGAATTCAATATTATTATTTATTAATTTATAGTAGTTTAGAAAAATGTTTTATTCCTTTTATAGTTCTATTTAATCAGGACTAAACCATGACTGTGGGAGTAAGTATGGGATAACACACTTTTCTATTTGAAAATATTTTTTAGTTATATCGGAAATTTTTCAATATATGAGTGCTACTTTAAAAGAATATATTCAATTGTAAATAACCTTTTTCATCGTCTCCCATATTTTTAGTTTTAATATGGTACTGTAATTTACATTGAAGTGAAAACGGTATTTATGGTTAGATTATGAAAGCGTTTGAAGATTTTAATTAGCTTAATATTGGAATGATAAGATAAATACATTATTACAGAGTATTTTGGAAATATAAGTAGATAGGAGTGATATAAAACGTTTTCCACGAAAGGAGGTGACTCAGTTTATTCTACTACGGTAAATATGCTTGTAATAATTTTGTTGTTAATAACTCCCATATAAACAAAGTAATAAGTTAAAAAAGAGATGTGTACCTTAATTCATTATTCATTACGTCACACTATTTTTTTTAACTACTGTAAGATATGATTAATACGTATTGTGCGGTACTTTCAATATTTTAAATAATTCTGGTACTAAAGATACAGTTCGTTATAATACAGTTTCAGTTCATGATTATAGTAGTAAATTATTAGAAACATAGTTAAGGAAATCTCCAAGTAAATCCCTTCAGAACAAGAGCTAAAATAAAAAAAAAAGTACCGAGACGATACCAGAATGGATACTGCAGCATCTTTAGTTTTATTTTACTAAAATAATGTGAAAATAACCTTTTTTCATTTTATGGAGGATTTTTTTATTAGTGGATGACAAACAATTTTTAAGCTTCGATACGAAGTCTAGATTTTACTATGTGTTTATTTTTCACTTTTTTGTGTCTGTCACTACTTTTTCTCAGCTCTCAATGGACAGATTTTTTTTATACAATTTGAAACTACTTTGGGGTTATTTTAAAAATCAAAATAATAATAAAGCGAACTGAAAAATGATGTTAATATAATGGTAAATCAGTGAAAAAAATTGTTTTTGATTTGTTTACAATGATTCTGGTGAACAATTATTTAACGAATATTACTCAGGGGTGTTAATGAGCATAATATAATTTCAACACGCACATCATTTTTCGCTTAGTTACCGAGGTACCAGTGATACAACCAGAAATTCTTTTACTACTGCTAAAATTTAAAAAATCGTCATTGATTTGTTGGGTGTGGTAAAATAAGACAAATATTACTAGCTTTATACATACATTTTCATATGCTCTCGATCATTTTTTGAAAATGAAAAAGTGAATTAGCGTTATGGATTCTGACATGTCAAAATATGCATATATTTTTTAGTAGAGTAATACATACGTTTTGAAACTGCTTCATATATTACTAGTTTTATCAAATTTTAAGTAATCTCAGATATTACATTAAACATAGCTCACTAATTTTTACATGTTGTTACTGCTTGTTATTCAAAAGGACAAATATTATTAGTTTAAAAAAAAACGCAAATTATAATTATTTTACTAAAAACATACATTTAGTATAAGAAATCATAATTATGTTACATGGATAATTTATACAATCGGTTTAATTCTGTACAAAACTTTCCAACAAGTATTAACAAATAGTAGACAAAATAATGAGTTTCTTTAATCGTTTTTGCCATATTTAAACTACAAAACGAATTGTTTTTAACTATTTACAATTTTGTTTCAAAAATAAAAAATTTTACTCAAAATAACTATGTTTTAATTTTGTTTTAATACAAAACAGAGATCTTAAACACAATGTTATAATAGAATTAAATATATTAGGAACATGTGTTTTAAGAATTTAAAAATGCCATGTAATTTTATCAAGCTCATATAAATCTTGTAGTAAATCAAATGCTTTTACTCCAATTTTATTTGCTATTTCGTTACGCTGTGTTGTATTCATGGAAGTAACATACATCCAAACTAAATCACCATCAATAACTCTCCTAGCTGGATTCATTTTTTCAGGTGTAATTGTTTTTAGACTACGGTAGGCTTTAGGATTCAAACCAGCAAGATGAGGTATATTTCGTACCAATATATTTTGTAATGTTAACAATCTTCTATAATTTTTCTCATGTATTGGTACAACATATCCTATTGAACCATCAAGAGTAGCATACATAGTAACATGCCGTTTATCTGATCCAATTACTTCACGCCTTTCATCTGATAATGTTGATCTTTTGCATCTCAGTCTGAAAAATGAATTGACATTTGAACCTAAATTAAAGTCACCACGGCGTATTAAGTGTTGACCACCATAACTCTCTCTAGCTAGAGGTTGATAGAGATAAATAAGTAAATTTTGATCTCTATCTGATGCTAAAAATCCAAGTTCAGCATTGTCAATAAGGAAATTAATATCAAACACTTCAAGAGGTTTAGAATCTCGACAAACCAAAGAAAGTGTTCGATACTCTTCTTGAAATCTTAAAAGTGTTATAGACTTAAATAGATCTGCTACTAATATAAGACTTTTTATACTTAAAAGCTGATGAACATAAACTTCAGTATCTATAAAAGCAATACCAATTAAATCATTATCTTTGAGTTGCCATATATAAATTTTTTGACCAACAGCTGTAACTAAAAAACCAACGACATGAGTTATAGCAGTAACTGGTCCTTTTTGTTCTTTAGCATATAACATTTTTATTTTATTTTTGGTCAAAGGCTTTCCAGGTTCTGGTACTACGTCAATTATGTCAAATAAAAATATACGACCTCTACTTGTAATATCTTCTGAATAACTGTAGTTAGTACCCATTGCAATATAACCTTTCAAACCACTGCGGGCACCTTCATAAGCTAAAGCTACATTTTTAAGACACGTAACATGCTCCCACTCTTCAGTTTCAATACTTGTATCTGGAATTGGTTCCCAAGAAGCTGGAGAGAATAATTCTAAAGAAAAAGCATCCCTATTGGGTAGTGGGAAGTTAGGTTCTCTTTCTTCAGTTGTAAGTTCTTTATCTTCCCCATTGAATCGATAATATGTTGCTGACGGTTCAGATGATGAAGTGACTACACAATATGTTTTTGTTTCTATATGATACGCTATAAAATGAGGTGTCTTGCGAAGAGGAACCTAAATTTATAAAGAAATAATAGTTTATTAATAATATATAATAAATATAAAAAAAGAAATAGTAGTAAGCACAAACTTTTCTTAGGGGCCATGGTTCATCATAAGATAGATGTGTAGGAAGTATACAAATTCTTAATTTGTGTTTAGAATTAAAATACAGAAAACCCTGAGAACAATTGACATTATGGAAAGGTGCGAAACAGGTTATTGGTCCATCTACATGAATTGGATGACAACGTAATTCACCTCGTGTTGTAAGTAATATTAAATGTGGATTTTGTCCACATACAAAAACACCACTATGACCAGCTATTTTGGTAAAATATCGAAGTAAAGATGTTCCTTCAAAATTAAGTTCTGATTTTGATTCAAATGTTAGAATAGAACTTATCTTGTGAAAACGCATTTTTAATGATCCAACTGGATGTCGATGAATACCATAAATAACAACCTAAAAAATAAATTATTAAAGCAATAATATACTATAATCTTTAATTGATAAAATTGAAAAATGAATTTTGTAAAACTAATTATTATTATACATAGAGTGGTACAACATATATTTACAAGTCACATAGCTGTTGATCTAGTTAATATTTTGCAATATTTAAAAAAAATAATAATTGTTGTACTTTTCGACTATAATAATATCATAACTTATAATTTAAAGAATTTCATAAAAAAGAATGCATCTTTTAATGTTAATTATTGGCTGAAAATTATTATTGTTTGAATGATTGTTATAATTGAAATGAGAAAAAAAAATTAATATTATTATTTATGCATTCATAAGATCTTTTTAGATTTTGTTTTCTTCATTCCTTTTCTTCACAACATAGACCAACGCTTAAACACATAAAAATTCAAATGTATGTGAATTTTAAAACACTGTTAAAATTTAATATATCAAAAAAATATTTTTAAAATCAAAGTTTGTTTTAATTTTGCCCTACAAAATGGGTATATTAAATTTATATTTTTTAATTTTTCATAAATTTAAATATATATATTTTTAAATATTATAAATTATGATATTATTATAGCCCAAAAGTATAAAAATTATTTTAAAAAAAAGTATTGCAAAATATTAATTAGATCAATAATTATAGAACTTGTCGAAACATGCTCAACTACACTGTTTAATGCACAATACCTCATTTTCAAGTCTAACAAACATAATGGGTCTTTTATCTTGATATCCAAGAGGTGCAACCAATAATTCTTTAACTGATTCAGTCTTTTTAGGAAAAATATTACCATCTTCTAAACAATCTTTGAGAACTAAAGGGCATTCATCAATATTTGCTGCTCTATATTTTATTTTGAAATCAGGCAAGGTGTATATTTCTAAATAACCATTAACTCTTGATATGAGAACCCAATAAGTAGGATGGGGTTGTTCTAAGTACTTTAGCCACCATGCAGTTGTTTTATTAGAAACAGAACTTTTAGGTATTTCTTTAGATGATGGATCTCTGGTATCACCATATAACATCTCATCTTCGTCTTCAACTGATTCATCAACAAAATTTTCATGAGTCAATTTTGGACCACTAACAGGAATTTCAGCTTGAGGCAATACATTAGAAAATAACCCACTTACATCACGATATACAGTCAGTGCTTTTGTCTGAGGTTCTAAATTAAAGTTAGTTGGTCGCATGACTAAAATTCTACCCATAGATTTTACTGTTAAAACAATAACTTGTCCATCTTCAGTCAATAAAACTGCATATGGGTTACAACTAGATCCATGTATTATTGGAGAACCAAATTCTAATGGTACATTTTGAAGCAGTTCAGAACCACTCAGTAGTCTTACAGAGTTCTTTAAAACTTGTACAATAAATCTATTAAGATTACATACATAAACAGTGTGTTCTTGAGAAGAAAATCCAGATGAGTCTAATTCATTTATTTCTTTCCCAGTTTGAAGTATCATTGTTGAATCAACATCAGTTAATATCATAAAGCTGTGAAAATCATCTTCACCATATACAGTCCACATATCTTTATAACCATCTAGATGAAATGTAGTAATGAGCTGAGGTTTTATAGAACGATGAAGAACACTCAATGCTCCATTTTTACCATGACCAGATGTGCACAATAGTTCTACATTGTGTTCATCACTAGTAAATTCATCTGAAATATAAGCTGGTTCTCCTAATGATGCTTGGCTACAAGGTCCAATATTTATAATACTATCACAGACTTCAAAACTATAACTTTCTAAACAAAATGATGTTTGTATTTCACTACCATATACTTCTAATTCAATTAAATCTTCATCTATTTCATAAGTCTTTTTTCTTTTTATACTAGGTTCATTTTCATTACTTTGAGATCGTGCATAAAACCTTAATAATAATGAATTACCTAATCTAGAACCAAGAAATAAATAAGAATCTAAGCACACTGTTATGCAAGTAGTTAAAACACTGGAAGCACTTTTTTCAAAATGAAAATTTCTCACTGCACGCATACTATCAGCAAAAAGTGTTATAACATACAAATCACCATTACATAGTGATGTCACTAATTTATCATTAGATATAAATGTTGCTGTTGCTCTATCTAAGACTAAATTGATATCTTCTTGTTGTACTAGAGGGAAATTTGTAATTGTTTTTGCTATAGAGTTTAAAGCAACTCCATATGGTGGTACACTTTGATTAAGATAAATTAAAGAATTTACTGCCATGATTAGAACTCCGCCAATAGGACGAGAAACAGGAATAACTTTTTGACAGTCATACGGAAGTGAATCTAAAGACCATATAACTGGATGTACTCTTTGTTGAATATTTAATGATATAGCCACCTATAAATAAAAAAAATTACTTGATCAACCAAATAAAATAAAATCAATTTTTGGGACTCCACAAAAAAAAAATTAAGTGGACTAATGTGAAAAAAATCATATACAAATTGCATACCATAGCACAGGTATCTTTTCGTACAGCTATTCTACCTGCAAATGTTTTAACAGGTTCAAATAAGATGAGAAGTGTAGGCTCGTAATATCCATCTAAAAAATCAAAATCTGTTATATTATTCATTTTTGGATCAATTTGTGAAATTGGAATGGTATAGCTAGGCATAACTTGAGCTCCTTTCGCACTGTCATCAGCAGTACGTCCAAAAGGCAAAACAACTAAATATTTTCCATAGACCAAGCCAACAACACATCGACCATCAGGATCTACCCTAATGATGGGGCAAGACCAATTTTGGGTTTGTCCATCTTTAAATTTATCATCTTCAAAGTAGTGCAATGAAAGTGTGCGTAAGCTGTGTGTATCACGATCATATTCAACTAAGCTGAATTTGGCTTCAGAAAAGCTGAGTAGTAAAGCATCCGGAGAACTAGGACATAAAGTAACAGGTTGCATTGACATAATATTACCAAAGAGAGTATATTGAGCCAGACATTCGAATTTTGCTTTAGGAGGCTGACATGTTGTATCAATTGGAACAAGTCGATATACACGAAGAATATTAACTCCAGCAACTACTAAGCATTTTTCCAATCTGTTAAAAAAGTAACAATATAAAGCATGTTCCACGCAAGTTGGAACTCGCGTCTGTTTGCACAATGTAAACATAACTTAATAAATCCTATTTTTTTTTAATAAAAGAATACATTAAGCTAAAAGAATCGTTAAAATACATAAAAATATTTAAGTCGGTACTTCGTTGTTTATATTGTACCCGGTTGTTTAATTTGATAGTAGTATCATTTTTCCATTATCCGTTTTTGACATTTTGCATCCCTATCATAAATGATAACAGACCAAAAGATTAATATAAGCCACGGATAGTAAATCATTTTATTATCGTAGGGAACACGTTTATATAGTCTATATAGTGGTAGGGACTGCACTTATCAGGAAAAAAATGATCAATATCATAATATACTAGAGATGGGATTTTTGATTCACTGATATGAATCAGTTCACTCAAATGAGTTGACTCAGTGAGTCAACTCCAAATTCCAACTCCCCAATCGTCGAATCTTTAAAGGCGCGATTCTGATTCGTGAGTTGTAGAAGTTTGTGGAACGCGAATTACAACTCGCAACTAACAAGGCATACTCATAGAGTGCCTTCTAAATGCGCCCTAATAGTTATCTTAGCTAGATTAATATCAAATATGAAATATCAATGAATTATTGTTTTACACAAATGTGAATAATAATTTATTTTACTCATTTTACATAATTATTATTTATTAACTACTATCGTAAAATGAAATGTAATATTGCTATCAATAATTTTTTATTCATTATTTGTTTATATATATTGGAATTAAATTAAAGCGCGAAAGAAATGAGAATCAAATTCAAATTGTATGTACATTATGGAAAAAGTAGTTGATTATTACTAATTAATAATTTTATGAGATAATGGACCTCAAACTCTGATTTTTACCTATAAGATGGTGGAGCTAATTTTAAGTTAAAACTTCTAATCATTCAATAGTTTGATTCCTTTNGGGCCTCAAACTCTGATTTTTACCTATAAGATGGTGGAGCTAATTTTAAGTTAAAACTTCTAATCATTCAATAGTTTGATTCCTTTTTTCTTCTGTTAAAATTTTAGATTCTCAATACATACCCACAATAGGGTTACGGAGATTGCCACGAACTGATGATGCCCCGACATTCATTTACTCCGACACTGTAAAAAAATCCTCCGAATACATTTACTCCGACAACAATTACTACGACTACCGGGTTACAAAAATTTGGATTTTACTACGACGATGAATACTCCGAATAGGACTATTAATTGATTGCTTCGAATGAAATTAGCTCCGAATATCGATTATTCGCGAAATCGATTAAAAAATTATCAAATTTCGGAGTAGATGAATATCGTAGCAATATATTAACTGATGGAAAAATATAACCATTATCACTAATTAATAAATATAATAAAATAGCGTTATAATTGATAACTGTCTATTAACGAATAATTATTACAATAAAGATCCCCGAAATGTATCCGACTTTTGATAAAATAGGTACATAAAGGTAAGAAAGGGGGCTTTGAACTAAAACAACCCGTTACATAACTGGTGTGAGCCCTTAAATTTTTTTTTTGGAGGGGTAAGAAGAGCGATTCCAATTTTCAGACGTAAAATCTTTTTTACCTCTCCTTATTAGTGCTTATTATAACATTATAAGCACATTAATATTATAACATTTAATAAGTTTAGTTAAAAAATATAGGGGTACGTTTCACTGATGATAGGATACGTCATTAAACAGATGTGTTTATAAAGATATTCGGTATCCCATTCTCTAAAACTGTCATTACAATTAGTCTCATATGAAATCAAACAAAAATATGATTTAATATCATTTCATTGTTCAAAGGTGGACAACGAAATTAATTCAGTCCAGTTTGGATTTGACCGCAATCTGGAGAGACTTGCGGGGGCTTTGTCTCCTGAAATTCTGCCATAGAATATACCGAAAATGAATTAATTTGTATTTCTTGTTGTATAGATATATTTTTTAGATTAGGTAAAAAATTATGTATTTTGAGTTCCCAAATATTTTGTTGCAACACTCCTACGCTCTAGTCATATTAAGTAAACACAAGGCAGTTATAAGTTAACAGTGGACAATAGCTTATGATTAATCATAAACTTAATTAAATCTTCTGTTAAGGTAATTAGTTTTAAACTTAACTAACTCGATTAAAAATATGCAGTCAATTCATTAAATAATGGTTGAGTTTTTTTTCATTTGCATTATGATTATTTGAAGTTTAGTCAAATATACGTATAGAGTTAAATATTTTAATTTATAATCATAATTGATAATCAAACAATTATTCATTTTTTCTCATTAAATGGAAATCAAATATAATAATGTAATATTGAAACTGTACAACTTTTTTTATAGGACATATATATATAAAATTACATTTTTACAAAACATAATACATTACATTACATGATTTTATTTTGAAAATTAATTTTTATTTTTTAGGAATATGCTTTCATATTCTAAAAAGTACATATAAAATGAATTCAAATTTTTAAAAAAACTTCATTTTGTATTTATAGAACAATACATTTGTATTTTTAGGATACACGTTAAGCTAACGAGATGAAAACATTGGCAAAATAATCATCTTTTCGCAGTGTCAGCCTGGCTCAGAAGGCCCTCATTAAATTTAAGATTTTTTTTCTCGCTGGACCACTGAAAAAATTGTCCAACAAATTTAATTATTATTAAAAAAAGGAAAGGCTATTCAGATATTTTTTTCAAAGAAATATCAAACTGATTTCAATAAATGTATATAAGATTTTAAAGAAAAAGAACTTTAAATAAATAATTTTTTACTCCTTAATATTTTTAACTTTTCTTTGAGCACCACTGGAGATTATAATGGTTTTACTTATAATTTAACATTGATTATAAAACTCATGTCACAAAATTAAAATTGTTTAACGATGAGTTAATATATTTTTACTTTTAGATGACANGTGAAGTTGAATATACTGTGTTATTTTATACTTAGATATCCTAATGCAGCACAGGAAAAAATCCAGTCATCCCCAAGAATGATGAGGAATACACGGAAGAAATTTCTTTTTTAACCTCCAGGTCCTATTGCACTACATCCAAAATTATTGGATAATAAGATATTATTTTAACTCTTCCCGAAGACACTTATCCATATTATCAAATTGGACATAGAACACCCAATTTTATATTGTAAAAATATTAACAATTTTATGTTTATATTAGTCATTATTTTTTAATATTACACACTTAAGAATTAATCACTAGTACAATTGCACATGACAATTTTTACAGCACATATTTGTTATAGAAAAATTAGTTTTCAAATGGATCTCTTAGATGTTAAAAAATAATTTACGGTTAGATAAAATTTTGTGGATCAACTGAAAAAACAGTTAACAGTTTTTTGATTTGATGAAAATATTTTGTAATTATTGGATAATTAAAAAATAAAATTCTCAAAGATAAATATATATTCTAACAATAGAGAAAACTTTTTCAAAAATGTACATTTGTATTAAACACTATTAATTTTATGTTACTTAATGAATGACTATTATCATTCGAGTATTAATAACATTTGTCAAATGTGAGAAATTGTACCAGAAAATAATAAGCAAAATGTATATTATTGTATAATAACTATAGTAGCAAATAAATGCTAATTGAATAGAACATTTTAATTTAAATTTTACAATATTATTAATAATAATATAATTAATTTAATAATGTAGTGTTTCTGTAGCCACGTGACCCTGACGTTGCAACATATACGATCAATGCGCCCTATTACTAACAATGCAATCGAAATATAATATAACTTTCGATGCATAATCAAACTATCGATAATGTCGGAGTTTTTACTATCTCATTTTTTAAATTTAATGTCGGAGTAAAATCCGTCGTAATTTTGGTATCCTATGGTATCAGATTGTCGGAGTACCAGATGTTCGTAACAATTACTTCTTTGTCAAATGTCGAAGTATGTAAATGTCGGAGCATTATCAGTTCGTGGCAAAGGTGCTTTCCCCCCACAATAGTTACATAAAAAGTAATTTATTTGGTTATTTGATATTTATAAAATATTTTTCTATTAAATTGTTTAATATTTTTACTAATTATATTTAAATTTGTTAATTATTATTGAAATAAAGAGTAAATTTAAAATCTAAAAAAAATATTTTTTTATTATTAACATCAACACATAGATTTATTTATGTGTTAAATTAGGTATACAGATACAATGTAGGTATTATCAATGTTTAATGTTTAGTGCATGCAGTGAGAAAAATAGGTCTCTTCTCTCGTATATTTCAAAATTTTCTTGTATGCAATTACAGGTCTATTCTTGAATGAATTTTGTTCTAAAAACTGATATATTATGTATAATCTAGTCTCATTCATTTAAAATTTTACTCATTGTGTCAACGTTGTTTCCTGTGATTACAATAAATCTTGTGCACAATATCGAAAATTGTGAAACACTTTATTTAATTTACGAAGGTATTTTATTTCATTTTAAAATGAATAAATCAAGTGTTATTTGTGATTTTTTTCAACTTGAAGCAGTTAATATTCATGTAAAGTGTGGACTTTGTCGTATAAAATTAAAAAATAATCATTCTTCGACTTAAAATTTAATTAGACATATTAAATCTAAGCATCCATTAGTAAATTTATTAAATATACTCATGTAATAGAAGAGATGATTGATGACCCAAATATTACTCTATCAACTTCTATTTCTGTAAGTTAAATCTATATATCACAATTCACATGATTCAGAATTTATTGATAAGACGTTTTAAACTAAATTCAATTCTTAGTAGTATACACTGAGTCACAGTACCATGGCACACTGATTCAGATCATTCAGTTCACTTAAAAGAGTTAACTCACTCATGAACTACCCATCCTTATGATATACAGAAAAAATATCATGAAGATATTCCAAAAGAGTGGTAAAGATTAAAACTTCATTAAATACTATTATAATTATAGTATTTTTTAATTATTAAAAACATGTAGAATTAGGGATGACAAAATAGCAAAGGATACCTCAAATCCTCAAACAATTTAATATTGTAGAAACTAAATTATGTTATTATCAAGATACACATTTTTTAATAAACATATATTTACTAATTTATGACAACAAATATTAAATAATTAGACATAAAAATTCCATACTAAATAATCAGTCATCCTTTTCCATTTTCCTGTATAAAAGTAGAAATTCTTCAACACACTTGATGTTGCTGATAAATAAATTAAGTTTAAAATATACATAACTGCTTCAATATAATTATGAAAATTTCTAATGTACTTTTATACTTAATTTTGAAATTTTTATGTACGTAACATAAGAACTAAAATATAAATTGATTTAACAACTAAAGAATATATAAATATACTCTAAATTATTGTAGATTGAGTATAATATAATAAATTAAACAACTTGAAGTGTTCTATAAATAAATATCACTTTTATACCAGATTTTAAATCAATTCCAAACAACTTTATTTTATTAATTTAACCAACAGTGGATAATGTTAGAGGAATAAAAAAAGCAAACTGCGAATAATAACAACATATTTAAGAACATATAATTATTTTCCTTTGTATTGTATGAAAAATTAACTTATTCAAAAAGAATAATACCATAAAAATGAATACAAAAATTTTTTACTATTATTACAATTTAATATTTAGCACCTCGATACTTAGGCTTAACTCTAATATTGTCTTGTAAGTATAAATAATCAGTCCATCTTCTTTTAAACTACAAGTATAGATCATTATTTGCTTTCTCTTAATATAGAACCAATTTTTTTATGTGCATATTCCAAACATCTAGCTAACTCTGGACTACAACCATTTTCAGCAATAGTTTTGAAGCGATAGGTACGGAATATATTGTCTTCAATAAAAGTAACAGCATTCATTAATGGACATAATATAACTTTAGTATGATCTGTGAAATTAATCTAGAAAAAATATAAACACTTATTCAAATAAATAAAAGTTTAATGATATTAAAAATTTATAAATTACCTGTAAAGTGCCATTAGTAAGCTGCATAATAACTGATGTTGTAGATCTATACCATTGAAACATGTAAGGAGTACGACTCAATTGATCTGCATCTTTTGCTAACATATCCGCCCCAGCTTTAATAAGATGATCATTCATGTAACGTCTAAAGTACATTAGTAACTTCATTTTTTTTTCTAATGTTGGGGGTGTATGTTCAGTGGTATAATATTGTTCAGAACCGTTTCTTTCTATGTAATGAACGTCGCTGGATAAGAATTAAAATAAAAATTAACTATTAAACCTTCTACAACTACAATTATTGTATTACTTAAAATTAGCTAGAAGCACAATACGAGTGAAATCATTGAACATAACACCTACACAATCATCTGATAACTCATAACCAAAGCCATATTTATCTGAATAATCCACCCATTTACTGACCCATATAAGAGGTTGAGCAGCTGGATCTGTGTTTTCTTCTAAAAAAAAAAAAATATACTCTGTATAACAAATATGAGACAAATTTTAAATAAAACAATCTAAACTAAACTATTTACAACTAATTGAAAAATATTTTTTCTTTATATGTTTACAGAAAAAAGACAAAACAACTTGATTTTTTTTGAAGACATTGTCATTTCTAATTTACATGATATATAATTTTTTAATTAGTTCTATTAATTATTTTTATTTTGAATATCAATATATAATATCAAAATACTTCTATTAGTTGAGAGTACTGATTTATAGTTTAAATGTTGTTAACATCTACCTAAGTTTACTAACAATATATTAGGCCAGATCTTTACTACATTTAATTTTGAGGTCCAGTCCATTGATTACCTAGGCATCTTACCTAGGTCAGTTAATGTGTCATGCTTTGGTGTGTACAGGTACCTGAACCAGGGTTTAATACCATAGGACTAGGCTATATTAGTGTTCTCATTTCTTCTTTAAATGCATAAAAGGTAATATAATTCTTTTTTCAAAAGTTAATAATATCTTACATTCTATAATTTTCAACAAAAATTTTAATCGTAATCCTTTAAAATGTTATCAACTTTTGTTTTTTAAATGGAAACCTATATTTTTAATGAAGTCACAAAAAAGAAAATGACTAGTCTATAACAATTTTTGAAGCAGTATTAGCACTTTTATAGTAAGATGAGAGGAGTAGCTTGGTTCAGACATGTTTAGAGATAAAAACAGACCCAATCATAACCTCCAATCTTTATGGTAAATTAAAGTGTAAATAATTTCCAAAATACTAATTCAAAATTTCTTGACTTATACCAACTTCTTAGATTACTTTTACATTTGTAAACTGGTTAATGTTGTTTCCATTTAAAGAAAAAGATTTTTTTTTGAAAATTATAAAATAAATTATTTTTTATATTTTTAAAGACATTGAATGAGTCATACTTAAAGATTTACCTTGTATAAAATACAAATGATTAAATCATTAAGATAAAATATTTACCCATATTTTTCATTCCTTTCATAGCAGGTCGAGTTTTTAACAGATTTCCTAATTCTCTTTCTAATGATATCATGTATTCTCTACATTCAGTAACAGATACACCATTACCATCAGCTGCTCTATAACCATGAGTTACACTAAACATAGGCGGTTTATTTACTGGATCCTGAGGCTTAGACATAGTTTTAATAGAAGTAGCTTTTGGACTATTGAGTTCTGAAAAAAAAAAATATATATTTTAAGTAGATAAAATCTACATATCCAATAAATATATATTTATCTTATAATTATATTATATTATTTCAAATAGCAACTAAAAAAATATAATACAATAATAATAGAAAAAAAGTATTTGGCACCTAGTAAAATTAATAAAGTTATACCATTAAGAGGTCGACGATTAGAAATAGACTCTCTATAATTAATTGAATCAAATCGAGGGGCCATTGTTAAACAAGAGGGTGGCAATCTCTTCGGCATATAGCCAGTAGTAAGAAAATCAGCTTTCATAATATCAGAAATAGTAGGACGTTTTTTTGGATCCGACTGAAGCATCTTACAGATAAGTGTAGTAGCACTCTTATTAATATGAGAAGGCACGTTGTAATCACACCTTGTAATTCTTGCATAGGTTTCTTTGAGGGAATTAGTTTCAAATGGAGGTTTTCCTACTAACAGAGTATACCTTAAGAAAAAAAAATTGTTGATTAAAATTTAAATTGTATTAATAGATGATGTTTAAATAACATACATAATGCAACCTATAGACCATACATCTACTTCAAAACTATGACCAGTTTTAGTTAGAATTTCAGGAGCAATATAATTTGGAGTTCCACATAAAGTTCTAAATAAAATACATTTCAACTTTAACAATTGATAAAAATACATTAAATCATAAATTATATATACATAAATATTATATTACTTTTTGCGTTGTCCATCATATTCTATTTTAGCAGCTAAACCAAAATCTCCTAATTTCACTTCCATTTCATCATTCAAAAACAAATTTCCTAGTTTTAAATCTCTATGAATAATACCTTGATTATGTAGAAATAAAGTACCTTCAAGTATTTGGTAAACATAGTATCTTGTTTCAGGTTCAGTGAGTGTTTTTCTCCTTCTATAATCAAAAATTAGAAAATGATCAATAAAATATATTAGTAATGTATAAATAATACTTTTATAGATAATATAATTAATAAACTTAAATTTGTGATATCATTTTCAGGAACAAATTTAATTTAAAAAAATGGTTGTATAGGGTGATTTCTTTAAAGTTTAATGTATCTTATATCTTAGATAATAAGTTTTTTGTGAATTTTTTAGCCTTTGTCAATTACATATACAGGGTGTTCAGTAAGTCAGGAAACGGGTATCTATTGTTCTCATTGTTACAAACAATGAGAACAATAGATACCCGTTTCCTGACTTACTGAACACCCTGTATATCTCTATTTATCTGTTATAAAATTATTAGGTCAATCCCTGTTATTTTATAAGAGTGTTAACTCAATTTTTTTAAATACAACATACATATTTAACTAGTTTATAAAATAGAAAATGATTGGTCAATAACAACTTTTGGTTTAATATTTTGGAAGTTATTAGAATTTTAAAATATAGACTAGAGGTAAAGCGAGAATATTACTATTTTAATTATTAGCCATTTCTCTCCTCCTCCCACTTGAGTGCAAAATTGTAAATATCCAAAGTACTGGTTCAAAAATTGTTATAGACCAGTCATTTTCTATTTGATAAACTAGTTAAATATTAATGTTGTCATTTAAATAAAATTATGTTGACACCCCTTAAAGATATAATGGATCAACCTATTATAGATTTTATAACAGATAAATGGAGATATATATGTCAAAACTAAAAAAAATTGATTAATTTAAGATAAATTGAGTCGCTAGCATTAAAAGAATCACCTTATATACTAATGATTTATAATAAAGAATCTCTAATGTTATTACATAACTCAAAAATTAAAATGTATATGAGATTACACCTAAGCACAAGAAGTTTCCATGACTACAAGATGAGAAAGTTATTATTTAATACTCAGATAGTTTTTAACAATAGAATAAACCAAAACTACAATCATTAAAGACTTATTCAAATAAAATTTTTAAAATTTAAATTTTATTAAACAAAAAATGTATTTTTACTATTTAATATAAGAAAGTTGTAATAAGATTTATAAAAAAACCTTGATTTCAAATCAATATAGTTAAATTATATGAAAACATAAGACAAAATTAATTAAATAAACAAGTTTTTTGCTATAGTGATATTATGTAAGAGTGCTATAATTTATGAAAAATCATAATAATAATTCTATGTTTAATTTAATATTGATTTATGGATCAAAATATTACATTTTTTTGGAGCAGATCTTACTTGTGCAACTCCATCATTGATCTTTTACGACAAAGTTCCAAAACTATGTAAACAAAATCAGAATCTTCAAAAAAGCTATGAAATCCTACAATATTTTTATGTTTCAGTCTCTGATGAATGTAAATTTCTTGAGTCATTTTATCTTTTTGGTTATGTTTAACTAAATATTTTTTTGATACAATTTTTCCAGCAAAGATTTCTTTTGTTCGCATATCTACAATTTCGTAGCATTTTGCAAATCCACCCTAAAAAATTTTATCTGTATAAATAATTATGAAAACAAATTATTAATTACAGCAAAAATTGATAAAAAAAAAATTGGCATTGAATGAGATATGGAACTTATATTGTGAATGTAGTCATATTTGAAGACCTTGGACAATGTGGTATTATTTCATCAAATCCACTCCAAATTTATCAAAAAAATTCAACGATTGATATTTAACTGTGTAACAATAGCAAGATATATCTCAACAATAATTTATTGCTTTTTAACTTATTATTAATTAAGCATTATTTATGAGTTAATATATTTTAATATGTATATATATATTATATAATATGAAATCTACTGTACTTAATTAAATTTTTGGACTCAAAAAAATGTTTTTTTTTACTTCCTGAACCAGTGTTGTATTTTCAAAAAAAAATTTATACCAATTTTGCCTCTGACCTAAAAAATGGAGATGTCTTGTGTTATTTCAATATCTTCAATTTAAAATAAAACTGAGGACACTGTACTATACATTGTTCTTAATTGGCTCTTTTGTACTTTTTTAAAATATAAAATTTTTACAATTAAATGCTGATGTTCAATGAAAAAAAAAAGAAATTCACAGTAAAACCAATACTTTATTAGCTTTTAAAACCAAAAAGAAAATTTTTCTTTGTACACCTGAGAAAATGTTGTGGTTAATGGTCACTCAAGTTCAAATTTGTTTCATATATGCATGTAGATAAATATTCTACTGAATGAATTCTTCTATTTAATTATTGCAATTCAAAGAATAAGATAATCCTGCTGTATATAGGTAGCAACTGACATTATATTTACTTTTTATTTATTAATTGATAGCTAAAATTTATGCGAATATGTCAATTAGCTTTAGTGTAGATTCTAATTATTTACACATTTACTAGTTTAGGTAAATTATTAATACAATTTTTTATTATCAATATATATAACTTATGTAACTCTCAAATTATTTTTTCACAATTTTATAGCAAAAAAAATTACACTATGCATTGGTATATAAATAATAATAGTAATTAAAAATAATTTTGAAATTTAAGTACAAAAATCAAAAATAATTTTTTTTTATCTACCTTGCCCAAAAAACTTCCTCTTTGATATTTTTTGTTTGTTTTGTTGTCTATAATTATATCAGGAATCTTAACTTCGTCATCTTTTGGTTTGGACGACATCTTCAGTCTTTTTTATTGCAATCAATCGAATTCCGACAATGGCGGACCAGTATAACGGAGATAGGCGATTCTCGGTAACGGGATGACGTTACTGACATACAGGGATTCGTATGATGTTCAACCATACGATATCTCAACAACAAAAAAAATAATAGATAATATTTCCGATCGACCAAGATACGGTACGGTCGACGAACACGTGTGAATAAAATGTATAAATTAATTAAAAAAAAAAAAACAAAAACAAAAGTTTAACGGAAAAATATATGGTAATAAGATAAAGATCAGCGCGCATGCTCGCTACACGCTGCGACGGCGGCTTAATAACCAATTCGACGGCACGTATGGCACACTTGCACAAGGTGCAAGTGTGTACCATATCAGATATGTGACGACATTTGATAAAGGAATCTTACAGCTGATATTTTAATGTAGAATTCTACTAGTAGAGTAAAATAAGAAGGGGCAAATGAATTGATCTTGTCTCTGGTGACGAAGTCACTATCATTCAGAGTCAGGATTCCTGACTTTGGATTCTCAAGTTATTGTCACGAACTTTTTAATCGTGGATCTAGAAATTCTTTCAAGGGGAAGGCACAACATTTCAAGTAGCTAAAAACAATTTTTTTGATAATTTTGTCACTCAATATTCTTTACATGTATAAATGCAGTTTAGCTGTCATACGAATTTTTCGATTTTTTTCTAATCGATTTTTCTTTTACATTTATTACAAATATACAAAAATAAAATGTCTATCAAAAATAGTTAAAAATTAGAGCACTTTAAAGTTTGCACACAACGCTAAGGAAATAGATCCCTCTAATGACATACCCTATTTGAAATTTTTATATTTTGGAAACTTAATAAAAAGGAAGCAATTTATGTATATCTATTAGTTGACATTAATATGCTGATATAGTCAATATAGATAAAAGAGCTCTAAGATATGAGATTACAACGCCCACGAAATTTTTTATCATAAAGATTTTTCGTTCCTACCAATAGCAATATCATTTGATCGTAACTGAGTGTTAGGATAGTTACAGGTCAGAGAACAATATAAAGTAATATTGAATTTTTTAGAGTGGCCAAACGGAAAATTGTTCTCTTGCCATCATGAACAGTCTACTTTGTATATAAGTAGGCGTTCAAAAAGTAAGGAATCATAACAATACAAACAATTTCCCTTATTCATTGGACACATAATGTTAAAACACATCTAGCGAATCAAATAAAATGTAATGATGTAAATGATCATTTTTTTTTAACGTAAAAGTTTCTTCTAAATAAATAAAATTTGGCATGTAGATGCACGTAGTGACGCAACCACTAAGCTTGTAAACGGATGTGCCTTCTGCCTTATCAGAGGATTAAAAAGATGGTCTAGAGTATGTAAGTCTTTCATCTTCTGTATCTTGCATACCCAGCACACTTGGTTTTTGTAGCACTGGGCGCTCAGAATTAAAACGTTTTAAGACGCTTTTTGATAAATTTTAGGAGAGAAATTTAACAATTTTCATTTTAAGAATATTTTTTTATGGGTATTACTTATGCAAAATTCTAGCTATAATACCATACACATAGACGAGATACAGGTGAGTTTATTAAAATACATACTATAGTAAACAAGAAATAATTTTATCTAGATAATTTTTATTTTACAACTGTACAACTCTTTACTGTCTTTTAATGAATTATGACTTAAATTTTATATTCTTTTGATTTTTCAAATTGATTAACTGAGGTTTACATACGTTGTAGGTACAAACTTAATCAGTAAGATGCTAAACCAAAGCATTCTGGTTCAAAATCTTCTAGTGAGTCAAGTACCATTGTAGCATTAGTTGTTAATTCTCTTGGTAATAGTGGGTCAGGTATCATGACTACTTGCATACCAGCTGCAATGGCTGCTGTCACGCCATTTGGAGAATCTTCTATCACTAAACACTTCAAAACCATATTTTTTATTAATCGATTTATCTGTTAGGAATTTTACGTTATATTTTTAATAAATCATAAGGAAAAACTTACATTTACATTTTCAGGTTTTTCATCAAATCTAGAGGCACACACGTTAAATATATCTGGCGCTGGTTTGCCCTTTTTTACTTCTGGATCTGTAGGACCAGTAACTACATGATGGAATAAATCAAAAATATGTTTATGGCAAGAAGTTTTTAAATCGAAACTATGTCTTCCACTGCTTGTTGCGACTGCCATGGGTATTCCTTTAGAGTGAAGATGTGTTACTAAATCTTCGACCCCTGAAATATAACATTTTAATAAAAATAAAGTTAATGGTATTTAGTTTGGAGTTGCTATTTTGTACTCATTTCTAACACCGATAAAAAACTGTAAATTTAATTATTTTCAATGTGATAACTTTACGTTAATAAAAAAAGCTTGTGTTATGTACTTACTATAAGTTAAAAAAAAAATTTGTCCTGACATCTTATATTTTATGTGCAAATGGACGCCAAATTAAAAAAATTATATTTTTGTGCAAAAAATCACCGTGTTGTGTTTTTTACTGAAAATTTGATAAATTGAAATCATTTTTTATTTTTAAATTTAGGTATTTTCCTTTAATTTGGTATATTTTTTTGAAAATCTGACTCTTAACCTGTCCACAGGAGGGATTCAAAGTAGCAACTTTTGTATGAAAAGTTATTATTTTTAACTTAACTTTTCATAATGTTCCGGAAATACAGTGTCCTTTAAACATACATTAAATTAAAACTTATGTTACGACTATAAGTTGAAAAAGAATAATGTTTTCCAACGTCTTGTATTTTATATATAAAAGTTACCAAATTTAACAAAAAAATGTTATTTTTGAGTAAAAATTCAATTTTTCTTTCGTGTTGTATAAGTTAACCACTTATTTTTTTTTTAATTGTTTATGTCTATACTTTAGGTTACTTAGAATAGACATAACAGAAGAAACTATACATCGCTCTTACTGTATTATCATTTTTATGTGTTTAGTTATAATAACAAGTAAAATAATATAATATAATAACTTTAAAAAAATCAATTACCGTGCATTAGTTTAACTTTAGGCAGTTCTTTTTCTTCAATTTGTTGAACTTTTTTCAGAAACTCTTGAGGTGTTATGTTTAATCCTAATGTGTTTATTATAAGAGTCGCTCCGTCTAGTTCTTGAGTCCCCAGAATTTTTATACGCAGATCTATTGGAAATACTTTGCCAAACTCTTGTACAATTGTAGTATACGTTTTATTATGTACACTTTCTGTATCTAAATCATACATTTGTTCAAAACTAAATGTATTATTTCTAGTGGATTACAATTTATTATAATTATTAGCTTCTATAAGATTTATACAGAGTGTTCAACAAGTCAGGAAACGGGTTTCTATTGTTCTCATTGTTACAAACAATGAGAACAATAGAAACCTGTTTCCTGACTTACTGAACACTCTGTATATTTATATTTTGGATGACATGATAACAAAACACTAATTATATAATCGAATGGATTATTTCAAAATTTGTGGAATATCCAAATAAAAAAAGTTTTTTTTAATTGACGATATATGTTATCTATACTATTAATAGAATAAGCTAGATTGATAAACATATACATAGAGATGTGAAATGATAAAGAAAAACGTCCAACGATTTCATCCAATAACTGTTAATTTGTTATTATTATTATTATTTGTTCTGCGTTAATTAAAAAGAAAAAAGTTTAGATTTAATTCAAATTAAAAAAATTATTTAAAAAATTTAATTTATTATCCATTCCAAAGTACATGCCTAACAAATTTCTAAAATCAAAACAACATTATATTTAGGATTGTATCTAGCAGGCAAATTTTAAAGGTGGCTCTGAAATATGAAGCAATCAAAATTGATGACTTTTTATTTTTGCATGCAAAATAAACAAAAATTGTTTTGGTGAACAAAAGTCATTCGGGGCGGAAGAATTTAATACATCGGGTGGCATAATTACTGAATTATGTTCTGAATATTTGATTGATTTTAAAACATATTTTATATTCAATGTAAATCTACATGGCAGTAATCTTACTATGGTGTGTTTTAGCTTCGACGCGAAGCTGAGAAAGTATTAATTTTACTATGATATTATTTTTGTGTCTGTTACCATTTTTTCTCAGCTCTTACCGAACGGATTTCTTTCAACGATACGTCAAAATATCACAAATCATATCTAGTCGAAGACATTACCCTCAAAAATTGAAAAAATTTCACTCGTTCAACGTAAATGGGAGAAATATCCAAAAAAATTACAAATTTAAAAATTGCTAATTTTCGAAATTTTTTCAATTTTTTTTATATAAAACTGCCATAACTATATCCAAAATGACCAAATCAATATAATTTTTATATTCAATATTTTTTATAGATGCATGACGACTTGACCTATCAATTGATATATTTCTTTTATAAATTTGACCCTTTACCTGCCCACAAAGAGGGATTCATAATGTCAGATATTTTAACAAAAAATAAACTTTTTCGACTTAACTGTTGAAAGTCTTCCGGAAACTCTGATATTTTTATAGATATCTTAAATTAAAGCTAATGTAATATACTTCATTATGGAAAAAAAAATTTCGGACTTTATTTTGTCTTCAAGTGTCAGAGTTTCTAAGCTAAGTTGAAAAAGTTAATTTTTAGTGAAAAAGTTTACATTTTGAATTCCTCATTGTACCTATACCTCATGTATCTATATAAAAATGTTATCGATTTGACATCTTTTCAATTTTTGAGGGTAATGTCTTTGACTAGATACGATTTGTGATCTTTTAACGTATCGTTGAAAGAAATCCGTTCGGCGAGAGCTGAGAAAAAGTGGTAACAGACACACAAAAAAAAACATCATAGTAAAACTAATAACTTCTCAGCTTCGCATCGAAGCTAAAAGTAAGTAAAATAAGGTTTAAGGTGCATACCTAATAATGTTCCGTCCATATCAAAAATTACATGAGTCACAGAAGAAATTTTTTCTGATTTAGCCATTTATATGTTGAAATAATTGTTTAATATTAACTCTATGTATTTTATTTTAAAGTATTTTTTTTTTTGAAAATCATTTATGCATTCAATCAAAAAGGTATCCATAGGCAACAATTAAATAATTTAATAACATACTATACTGTATTATATATATATATATATATATATATATATATATATTCTAAGATGGTTCTTAAAAATAAAGTTTGTACTAGATTTGGTTGAAATTGAGTGACATAAAAAGGTCACTCGACACTTTTTCTTCTACATTTAAACGGCTGCCGTAGTTAAAAAAACGCTATTTTTGTGTTAAAATTTTCGATTTAAAATTTTCAACTTAAAAATGCTATAACTTTTTGAAAAATGTATATATCAGCACAATTTTTTTTTTCTAAATACATTATAAGTACATCTTTCATTTGACATACTTTTTATTAAAATTGGACAATTTCCCCTTATATAGGGGGCGTTCAAAACTT